CCGGGGCGCCCCCCGCGGCTCGGAGCTTCCACGGCTGCCTCTACCGGACCTCCCCGGACCCCGCGCAGCTGGGCGCGGCCTACAGCGTGGGGCTGGTGGTGGCCTGCTACCTGCTGCCCTTCTTGCTCATGTGCTTCTGCCACTACCACATCTGCAAGACCGTGCGCCTGTCCGACGTGCGCGTGCGGCCAGTGACCACCTACGCGCGCGTGCTGCGCTTCTTCAGCGAAGTGCGCACCGCCACCACCGTGCTCATCATGATTGTCTTCGTCATGTGCTGCTGGGGGCCCTACTGCTTCCTGGTGCTGCTGGCCGCCACCCGGCAGGCCCAGGCCGCGCAGGCGCCCTCGCTGTTTAACGTGGTTGCTGTCTGGCTGACCTGGGCCAATGGAGCCATCAACCCTGTGATCTATGCCGTCCGTAACCCCAACATTTCTATGCTCCTAGGGCGCAGCCGCGAAGAGGGTTACCGGACTAGGAATGTGGACACTTTCCTGCCTTGCCAGGGCCTGGGTCTGCAAGCCAAAAGCCGCAATCGCCTTCGAAACCGCTATGCCAACCGGCTGGGGGCCTGCAGCAGGATGTCCTCCTCCAACACGGCCAGCGGAGCTGGAGGCGACGTGGCCATGTGGGCCCGCAAAAATCCAGTTGTGCTTTTCTGCCGGGAAGGGCTACCAGAGCCTATGACAGCAGTAGCCAAACAGCCTAAATCTGAAGCCGGAGATACCAGCCTCTAAGAAGAGCTGGGATGGATAGCTTGTGACAGCAATTTCCACCAGTTTCAGTAGAGATACAGGATTCCGGGGAATTCATAAAGCCAAACATTTAAACTAAAAAGACAGAGGGGGGGAGGGTTACCACTTCCCCCAAACAACATTAATGACAATGTCCTCTTCTTCAGAAGTGCCAAAAGGAATGTAAAATGCAAAAATTAAAACAATCTTAACCACACAACCAAGCATCTTGAACTCGTAAATGACAAAAATAAAACACGGTTAGTGAAAAGTTCCTAGTACAGGATCATACTGTGAAACAAACAAAAGTCGCTAAATGAAAACAGTGTTTGTTCAAATACAGAATTTCAGGAACAAAATTAGACTCTCAGAGCTGCCTGAAGCCTCCCAATCACCAGCACCACACCAAATTTCAGATTCTAGAAACTGCACTTCTGAGATGCTTTGGGGGGCTTAGATTAGGGTAGAAAATTATTATCTATACACACATTGGTGCATTTTGTCCCCACCCTTATAACCATTGTGGGAAATTTTAAATTCAGATCTTAATAAAAATCATTTCAGGATTTCTGAAAGGTCAAGATAAAATTCCACCATCTGAAGGGTAAATCGCAGTATGAACATAAAGAAATGTGGCTGTTTAGAAAGCGTTCTAAGATTATACGTACATACCAGTGTCTCTTCCACTCCATCCTACCCCCAAAATTATGCGCCCTGGAAAGTTGCTACTAACCTGCTACTTCTATTTCTAATCATTTGGGGATGTCGCTTTCAGAATGCTCTCACATTAACAAACAACTTTCATAGAAAAAAAAAATTTCATTTTTTGAAGTAAATCTGATATTTGGATACAGCCAAAATGTAAAATGAAGTCAAATTGTTTGAATAAGATGAGAGATGCCATTTTTTTATTATTCAGAAAGAGAGAGCAAGCAGTCTGCAAAGAAAATTAGCTTTCTATGTGGCTTTTAACTAATTGAATATGATTCCAAAAAGGAATATTAAAAATATTTTGAGACATGGCCAAATTATTGGCATAACCACAGAACTTTCCAAGAAGATCGTACTCTCTCACTACTATTTACTTTATAGACATGACATCTAAATAATAATAATTTAGTTTCTATTAGAAATAGAAGAGGGGTGGGATTATGATATATACTAGGATATTTAAAATTTAGGCATAAAGTCAGAGAGGTACTTCAAGCAAATTGGAAAGTATTTTAATGGGCCAGGCTATGGCATGGTTTGTGGTGGCTGGAAGCCACATGGCTGATGGAGAGTCATGAACCAGTCTCTTAAAAAAACATGTGGGGCACATGTGTGTAGGTCCCCAAAATCCAAAATGGAGAAGGGATTGTGGTGTGATCATCTTCCAAAGGGGGTGCTTTCTTACTTTCCCTCTTTCTCTCTCTCTGGTGAATGAAAAACTTCTGTCAAAAATTATTTTTAAAGTATTTTCAGAAATATGCAAAACCATAATGCTCCTTGTAATAATTCACAAGCACAATTCAGGATTTGTGGAGGTGAAATTAATTCGACTGTACTCAAAGTCATTTACTCAGAATTTAAAAGGGTGTTTTTATGTTTTCTCCTTCTTTCCTTCCTTTCATTCTGCCCCTCTGTTTTTCAGTATTTCACAGTCTTAACTGAATAAGTACTATAAACTAGACATTTATCATTGGCTAGCATATGAAGATATCAATGTGAAATAGCCAGCATCTTGTCTTGTAAAATATTTTAAAATATTTACTAGTATTTAGGACTTTGTGTGATAGATGGATATATATCATTATTTTGTAATCGAAGACATAAATACATCGTTTTTATCAGAGATAAAGATGTTTCAATTTTTTTTCTGTTTCTCAGAGTGCCATCACAATGAGAAGCTTATCAATCACTGGTATATATTTTGCTACATTGAAAGTAAAACAAAAAAGGTGAAACAATCTCTCCTCTTTAGCACTTACTATAAAACATACAGATTTACTGTAACTGGAGTAATATTTAACAGGTATCTATTAGAGGCCAAAAAAGCTGTGTATTTTTTGGCATCATGATAAAGGCTACTTCAGGGATTTATGGACAAATGATAAAGTCTTCCAATTTTGAAAAGTCTCGTAGCGGGCCAGCTAGGTAGCGTGATAGTTAAGGTGGCTGGATACCACATGGCCAACAGCTCAATTCCAGTCCCTAACTCAGAGGCTTGAAAATCACACCAGGTACATGTGCATGCGTGCTTACTCAAAATCTCAAGAGGAGAATGGAGGAGAAGGGATTGTGGCATGGCCATCCTCTTTGGGGGTTGATTTCTCTCTCTCTCTCTCTCATTCTCATTCACTTCCCTCTCCAGTGAGCACACATACTCTATGGCAAATTTTCAAAAGAAAAAAAAAAGTTGTAAAGAAAGGTATGATAGGATAGGAATCTCACAATTATAAATACAGAGCAGAAAGAGAGCTTGGAAACGAAGATGAGCATTTTGCAAATAGTGTATTGTCTGAGAAGAGGGATTGATGGAAGACATTGAAAAATGGATATAGTATGAAATTCCCCGGGGAAAGAAAGGAATAGTGGAGAGACTGGAAGTGTCTAAAGTGATGACATGAAGGACTTTAAGGGAAAAAGGAATTCCCCCCCTCCACCCTACCTCTTCAGTGGTAAGAAGTTTTAGGAAAGAAATGACTTGGGAAAGAAACCATTCTGTTTGTTGCTGTGTTGGTTGGCAAGGCTGGGGGGCGGGGGGGGGAGAAAAAGTCACTAATAAGTTTCTGAGCAGTTTACAGTTTTTTTGTTTGTTTGCTAATTCCAGGTTTTACAACTATTCAGTGGTAGAACTAGGAGTTGAACTGTAGTCTGTTTGACCTCAGAGCCCCATGTTGCCTTATCTACCTTCTGCTGCCTCCATAGAAGTCTGTGGGTAGGAAAGCCAGGGTGAGAAGTTAAGGAACTATCATCGTCATTACCAACATCTACCATTTTTGTTTCCTATTCTTCATAAGGGCAGCTTTCTAGGTGCTGAGGCTATTAAAAGGAAGAAATCACTACCTGACTACAGAGGGCTTACAGCCTAGTTGAGGACCTCATACTTAATAGGAATCAGCCATAACTAGGACTCTTTAGTTTACTTATAGAGAAGAAAAGGCATGGCATTTTCAGAGGAGATTATCAAAGACTGGAGATGAATTTGAAAGCAGAAGATATGCAGATAAAGGCTACCAACCAATCTGATCCAGTTCTAAATACTCAGAGACAAAAATCAATGCCTTATGTAAAAGATGGAAAAAGAATGACCCAAGATTTAGACCTTTACTCATACTTACTTACAATGAGTGTAATTATAGTGACTTTGTGAAAAAAGAGGAAAGAGAAGCTATGAAAAATTGGAATGTATTGAATATAACACATAAAGGCCAAAATGTAATCCTTCATGTTTCATTCTGCTTCCGGTCAGAGTATTTCATCTGAGTTGCAATAATAACAGCAACAAGTAATCTATCTATATCTGTCTATCTACCTATCTCTCTATCTATCTAATGTGTGTGTATACACACACATGTATATATATATATATATATATATAGAGAGAGAGAGAGAGAGAGAGAGATCTAGATATATAGATGATAGATAGATGATAGATACATAGACAGAGAGAGAGAGAGAGAGAGAGAGAGAGAGATACATACATACAAAAAAAATAGCCAGTTGTTGATGCTGGAGAAAAACCGA